AACGGAGCTCCTTGTTCTGGACGTCCTCGCCGAGTCGGATCTCGATCGAGTTGAAAGGTCCGCTGAGGGCCGGGGCGGCCATGTCCCTGACATTGGACTTGAGGTTCACCTGGGCGCCGGTTTCACCTCCATCGCTCAGGGCAACGTTGACCTTGTCGTCGTAGTTGCGACGGCTGTGAGGAGCAGCAAAAGCACCGGTAGCGGCGAGGAGAGAGAGAACGATGGCCTTGGAATGCATTTTTCGGATTATGTTGTTTTGTTGTTGAGTTGAAAAGCTTTGGGGATTAGATATTTTCTTATTGGCTGCTAGAAAGAATGGATGTAGAGCAGTTGGGCTCAAAGAATGTAGGGAAAGAATGAAGGAAGGAAATAAAAAAAAATAAGGAAAGGTAGTAAGTTGGTTGGTTTGTTGTTTTGTCTGTGTTGTATGAGGAGAGGAATCGTATGACTGGTGAGGAACTCATGGCATCTTTATACCCATTCCACCCCACCACAGATGTCCCTTCTCAAAGGACAGTATGGTGTATTCCGCATATACGAAGTAAGACCGATTCCTCGGATGAACCAGTCGTCAGTATCCACTAGAACCACTGGGAGAATTACACACCTGTCCAAATCGGGAGATGCGTATATACTGCGCCTGGGAAGCGCGGCGTGACAAAGCGCTCGCCAAGGCGACTATGTCGATTGGCTCGATGGCGGAATGGAAGTCACTATACCCAATATCGCCTGGACGAGCCCAAATCACCCAATGCCCTTATAGCAGCACCGCCGAAAGACCCATTCGTCCACAGTAGTCGTAGGTGTAGGATTCCGCTCGGTCGGTCTTGGCTTCTAGAAGTGCTTACTATATCAAGCTTCCCAATAATAGATACAGACAGGTACACAAGCCTTGCGGGAGCCAAGACTCCCCGCCGCGAGATTTTGGCCAACACCGCAGGTTTTAATAATGCTGTGGCGGGTTCGGCGGGTTTGGCGAACAGGAACAGACAGACACTGTCAGCATTTACCGTGGAGCCGCGTTAGCGAGGTAGTACCTGTTGACCAAAGACAAGCAAGGATTCTTTTTGCTTGCCTCTTCGTCCGTATGCCCAAACTGGAGCTATTCGACATCAGCCACGGCCCGCTCGCAGTAATATTCCCTTTCCTAGATTCGGGGTTTCCCCCTCTTTGATTGCTCTCGTGGAATTTCCTAGAAGAAGTGGCTGTTACTGTGCCCCTTCCACCAGCCATTTCAATTCAGCTGCCCTACATTCTGGTCGTAGACTGTCCGGCGAATCCGGCTTGGATGTATCTCTGCATATCGCCCTCGGCAGACAGACTGAATTCCCACTTTTGCATTTTAACGCATTGCTCAACTGGGTAGCAGTCTCTTCTCTGCACCTGTGGGCCTCGTTGTTGTGACTTCATTGCCAAGTCGGATTATCTCACCTCATCGTAACTCAATAGCTTTGATCCTGATAGCCAACAGCCGAAAAGCCGTGAAGCTTCACGGATTAATGTGGAATATGGCACGTCGGCAATATCAGAAGCAGTAGTGAACGGAATCTTGCCGGCCTGAAAAGCTGCGTGAAATATGTTCTCGTTCCTTGTTGTGGGTCGGTTATTGCTGCGACATCCTCTCTCTTTGACCCACCTGAAGCCAACCAGCAAGTCAGTGGGAGCCTGCGATCCTGAGGCTCACTCATGACAGACAAGTTGTGCAGACCACGCACTATTTCACTCCAATACCCACCAGGTGGTGCCGAACTTTGCCAATATGATGGATGACGACCTCAACATGGTTCTCCGTTGGGAGTTTCCAGCTGCTAGTTCTGTAAAGGCATTTATTAGGTTTGCAGGGTGGGGAATCTCTAGTGAGATGAGATGGACTGCAGATGTCCTCTGTGGCCTGAGAAATTGCGCGTGAGAGGGAGTATAACAGCTGAAGGGTTTAACCAGTTCCATCTGATGACAGGCACCGCTTGGTGCAGCAGTTTGGCCCCGGCAAGAGGCGAATTAAGAAGGTACTTTTGCAGCCGGGCAACAGACCAATAATGTGTATGCCTGTCTTACCAATACCGCCAGCGATGCAGACGGCCATGATGATTGTTGGAACCTCTCAAGAGTGCCATGGCTCTGAGCTGACGCTTATCCTGTAAATCCCCATTCTGGAAGAACTTGGCGTCTACATTGGCTTGGATATCTTGTCTTCAACTTGTCATATGTTCAAGCCGCAAAGATATGGATGCTTGCCACGGCGATGATAACTTTTAGATTGAGAAAACATGTTTTGTTAGTGAATGAGGTGGAAAGGAAACAGAGATCAGGGACGCACAGAACGACGGCCTCTTCAGGCTCGGCTGCCAAGACAAAATATGATTGGCTGATGTCTCTCCAGCCGAATTTCCTTTCGCGTTCAACTTTCCGTGGTCTCGTGTCGCAGGAGAAAAAGTCTCTTGCACCATCGATTTCGCTGGCACCCAGCGCTCAATCACCCTCAGGGTTTCTATTCCATCAACCTTGTCGAGAGCACTGCGCAGTCACTCCAGAGTTTACAAAAGGCTCTTTCAGTTCTCATGAAGAGGTCGAGGCTCCTGAGATGGAGCGGCACTGTACTCTCACCTCGAACGAGACCAGAACCTCTTCAATGTCAGTTCCACCTCCATCGACGGTTCCAAGCGACTGCCGCTGCGCCCTCAGAACCCGAAAATGAATCTCTCCATCAGGCCACAGATGGACCGTACCTGTCGGAGGAAGAACTCATGAAGCTACCCTCACCTCCGGTTGCCGCAGCGAAAACGTCTGCCAAACTAGCTGCCTTGCATGCTCGACTTGCCCTACCTTCTCGATTTCCCCTCGAAACTCTGGCACGAACCCTCATTGACGACTCGGCGGATCGCTCTATGCGGTTCAACAACAAAGCATTTGCTCTGCTTGGGAATGATTTGTTGGGTTTCTACACCTCCGAGTACATTATAAGTCAATACCCAAGGTTACCACTCGCCGTCATATACGCGGCCATGTACGCATATCATGGTCCGGCGACGTTGACGCAGATGACCAGAGAATGGGGTGTGGAAGCTGCGGCGGAGCCTGGAGGGGAGGTTGACCCAGGTCTGTTGCAGTTCAAGAGAATGCCGCCGGAACAAGCTCTAGGAGTCGGAGACGGAGCTTCAGGATCAAGCAGCAGCAATAGTGATCCGAGAGCGAAATGGACGCGGAGTTTAAGCGCCAAGTCGGTACACAACGATCAGTTTGGCGAACTGCCAGAACGTCCAATATCGGCCGAGGATTTGGCCTCGAAAGGCGTTACTCTACAACGAGCCAGCACAAACTTTGTGAGAGCGGTGATTGGCGCAGTATACTTGCATGCTGGAAGAGCAGCCGCGAAGAAATTCTACAGTGACCACTTCATGTCTCGACAATTGGACATGTCGAGTCTGTTCCAGTTCAAGAACCCCACCCGAGATTTGAGTCGACTATGTGGAAGAGAAGGATTCCAGGCACCTGTGGCCAAGATTTTGAGTGAAACTGGTCGGAAGAGCAGGACCCCTGTCTTTGTGGTGGGAATATATTCAGGCAGTGACCTGTTAGGAGAAGGTGCAGGGGCCAGCTTGGACGAAGCGAGAACACGAGCAGCTGTCGCAGCGCTCAAGGGTTGGTATCTCTACAGCCCGACCGAATTTCGACTGCCCAGCGAAATGGAAGAGCCCGGAGCCAAACCCTGGAACCCGATTTTGGTAGATGCAGGCGAAGTTGTCGGCTAGTGTCTGCTCGAGGCTTTTTGCTCTTGCGGCCTTTTGTCGTCGAGGCTCAATGTACTTTTATGACAGCTTGAACAAAAATTCTACTGGGACATATGTAAGCATTACCAGGCGCCTGGAGGAGCTATAGTGCGCAAGGCAGCCATTGACGGGGTCGCGCAGACCTATGTACAGGCAAACTGTCACCAAATCTTACTCTCCAAACATCTTTCATTTGACTTTAGCTGTCAGTGATAGTCCTGCAATATGCCGAGGGCTTTTCTTAAGTCGAATTTTAAGGCTCAAGGCGCAGGACGCTGCCGCTAGCTAAAAGGCAGGGAACAATGGGGCCGACTGTTTCGTGTGTGGTGCCTGAGAAGCGGTGAACAGCTTGATGATCGTGTAACTCATGTTCATGGGCTGCGGGAGTTTTGGGAATATTGTGCTGTCTCATCCCTCACGCAGGGACTTGAAAGAACGGGTCGGGACCCGGGTTGTTGTATATACAGGGCTCACCATATCTTCGCGAACAAAACCCCTGGGTACTTGGGATTTGACACATACTACCAGCCAATGAGGAGCACAGCCATTCACGGCTTGGCGGGCTTGGCGACCATCGTGATGACGTCGGCTGGTGGGATGCCTTTTCCTCCTCATTACCAACAGAGGCGAAGGTGAGCGACAATCAAGGGATCCAAAGAGGCTACCTAACACTACTCTCAGGCAATCTCAAGGGACGTCGGCGCTCCCCAGAAAATCGGGCGTCCCGCTCTCTTTGGGGATCAGCCAAAAAAGCGAAAACGACGAGGGAACTTTGAACAACACAAAGTTCTCTGATTCATCGCCCCAGCTTGCGCCACACCCAAACTACAGGAGGGCAGCGCGTCTCCACGAATCATGTTCAGACCTGGACCACAACCACCAGAACCACCGAGGACGGAGTTTCAGGAAGCTGATCAGGGAAAGTTCAGAGGGGTTTGAGTAAGAGGCGAGAATCCAGAACCTTAGTTGGCGCATGACGGGCGCTTGTGACTTGAACAGTTCGAACCCCCCAGCCTCTTCGAACATTCCACGAACCGGTATTTAGCCTCGCTAGGCAGTCATGGCAGTCCTTTCAATACCGTCCAAGGTCCTTTGCCTCTTGTGACGGATCAACATCCGACAACATGTGGTTCCTATTCTTTTTATAAGTCTTCCTACCAACTCCGGCTCTCTTGAACCTGATTTTCCCCATCTTCATCTCTACCGAGAGCACAACTCATAAGCGCCCCCACGATGGCAGCCGCAGAGTATTTTACAGCAAGCCCCAGGCCTCCGCTGGAACAACACAACAATGGGCCCTATGTGCCTCCACAACCTCAGAGAGTACACTCCTCACAGGCTGGGTTCAATTATCAACCAGGTCAAACGAGCCATCTCAGTCCACAGTTTGGTGTTCAACCGCCTTCTCCATATGGTCCACCTCCCCATGCTCCTCCTCCTGCCTACCAATCTATCAATAATGAACCGAAAGTCCACTTCGCTCCATCATCTGTAGGGGCTGGACAGCATCGACCTTCCCTTTCAAGCCAAACAACATACCCTCTCAATCAACCCAACTTCCAAGCCAACCCCGGGCAGCAATTGTCTCCATATCCTCCAGGTCCATACGTACCTCAGGCCTACCAACAGCCTTATGGACTACCTCACAATCGTCCGCAGCACAGACCGTCGCACAATGACCCCTCTGGCTCTGGCTATTCCTCAGATCCTGAGCCCAACAGAAGAAAGCACAAGGAGCGAAGCCGCCGCATATCGGATCACTCGCGATCGACCGCGGCCGACGGGTTTCTCGGTGCCGCTGGTGGCGGGCTGATAGGCGATTTGCTTTTCCCGGGGCTCGGGACCGTGGGCGGCGCATTAGTGGGATGGGTCGGTGGCAAGGACTATGGAAAACACAGAAAATGGCGAGAGGAAAAGAGGGAGCGCGAGCAGGAACGCTGGGAGAAGGAATACCGCAGGAAAAACAGCCACAGTCGTTCGCGAAGTCACAGTCGGGACGTGGATTCGCACGAGCGGGGCCACAGTCATGGTCGTCATGACGGACGGCGGCACAGTCACGAAAGACACAAGGGCTGACTGAGACGGGTTTGCAACACACACGGGCGGGAATTATTCAGGGAGGCAACTCTGGCATTTTTGGGGGTTCTATTCACGATATTATGTGTCATTATAGAAAATGGGATCCAGGTGATGATGGATGACACATCACCGATGAGTTTACGAACCAAGTCGAGTTGTTTGTGACCCCGGGAGATATCGCTACCTCCGAAACGGCTGGACCATTCCGGGGTGGACAAGGATCTTTGGTCAAGGCAGTGAGGAATTCGTTCGTGGTTTGTGGTTTTAGTGATTTTGTGGTCGTGTGATGTGTATGAGGTCTTTGTCATGTTTTCCACGAATCAAACACGGTGCAAGCCCCAGTTGCGATGACCATGCACCCCAGATCCGCCGCAGGTGGCGAATCTGACGATATACTTGACACCTCGTACATATCGTGCGAGCCGCGTATTTGTTGGACTCGATTACCTACGATAACTACAAGTAGATCCCACCCGTGACGTTAACGTCAGGTGGCCGAATCCAGCCTGTTGAGCCTCTCCGTCCATGTGTCCAAGTGCAGTCGATAAGGACAGGTATCGCACTCCGACAAGGTGGAAGTGCATATCTACCTGGGCACCTAGAATTGCCCACGACGTGTCCTCCACAAACAAACCCACATTTTATTCATGGTCCGCATTTTCCCTGCCTGCCTATTGCTCCATGGGAGAAGCTGGCCCTGGTGGAGGCCCCGAACCTTCCCCTCCCTCCTCCCTCCTCCCTCCTCGAATCATCTACACATAGTTCAAAGTGCGCCTTACCTCTTGGCATTTAGGTATCAACCTACTCGTCGAGTCGTACAAGTAGTGTCTCTTTCAGCCTCACGAATCTTTTCTTGTGGACCTCCGTTGACACCGACCCGACGCCCAAGCATGAGTGCATACGGAGTACCTGCTCGTTGTGTCCTACCTTGCGTTAGGGCCAAGGCAATCTTGATGCGCATGGAACCAACTAACCGATCAAGTGCGGTCTTTGCGGTGTGGATATAGCTAGGTAGGTACCAGGTACGGTACTACCTAGGCTACCTTGGTAGGTATGTACTTATACGTACCGAGTAGAGTCTGCCTGGCGTCGTTGTCGACAGCATGTACGAGGACATGTGGGCCATGCATGTTACCTTTTGCATTGAAATGCACTGCCGTCCCCCTTTTCCCGCGGCGGTCCTCGCTGGTAACATCCGAACAAAAGTCTCACAAAAGTTTTGTGTGGGAAAGCTTCCCGCCCTCGTGCGCCAGGCGAAAAGGACCACCACCACCCGCCCGACAAAAAGTCCAAAGTCCCCACGTGGCACATGCGTCTATGACACTGGTATACTCGTAGATTGCTTTTTCGGTGGGTTCGCGAACCTCAAGTTCTTTTCATGTCAGTGCCAGCGTCGAACGCGTCGCAGGGCTGGTGGAGGGAGCATTTTGTTGTACGAGTACGAGGAAGAAAAGAGATGCATGAGTTAGCCTGGATGCCAGAGGGAGTTATGATGTTGGGAGTCCTTCACGACTGGCGTTGGCGAGCCACCTGCGCTCTCACAGCTCTCAGCACTGCACAGAATCACCCAGTTCTGGCAGAGAGTGTTTGGTGCTGAGCTTGTTTGTCGAAGACCCTGGACGTTTCAACGGTTCGTGAAAGCGTCGCCAATCTCTCGACTTGAGCGAGCATCGTGAAATTATATGCAGGACCTCACAAGTGAGGATATTGACGAGGTACATATTGTAGCTTCGTCGACAAACGAGGGTTTCGCAACGAGTGGACGACACGGAAGGTGATGTAAGTCAATTTGCAATGACAAACCACAGCAAGTTTTTGCCAAGGCATTAGTGTCACAGACTTTCCTGGTTCCACAAGGCAACCTGAGAGCCTCTCAACCTGGTGATCGAACGTGTATCCATTCCTTGATGTCAACGCGCTCCCTATCTGCGAATATCTCAGCCTGTCACCCGCTGGCCCTCGTGATTTGCCTCAGTAAATCAAGATGTTGATGCCTCGGAAGCACATGCGTCGTGGCGGAGACACGACCTCAGACCCCAACGATGGTGTTCGGCATAGACGAGGACGACCTATGAAACGAGTAAACCAACTCAAGCCTTCTCGCACAGCTCGAACCCTACGAGCCAACCTTGTCCACGAACAGCTCACCGGAGAGATCAAACCTCGAAAGAAAGTATCCGCTCTCGAATCACTGCCAGTGGAGATCATCGAGCAGATCTTTTTCCATTGCTTGGAGTTGAATCTCCCCAGGGCATCGGTACATCTAGCCAGAGCTCTGTCAAGACCTTCCGTCTATTCTGTACTGGTTCTATTCGCCTTTTTTGAAGCAGATGAAATGAGTTACGTGGAGACTCGCCACTTCTCGCCTGCAACTTTCAGATTGATTGGATTCGACGAACAGCGACGTCTACAGGAAGCCATATTGGTCACCAGATGGTGCACTCCCGAATTTCTCCAGTCTTGCATCCCGGCGCTGAACAGATTGGCCATGGTCCGACACTGGCACCGTGAAAGAGAGCTGCTGACAGCTGCAAGATCTGCAGGGATCCTCTGGACGCGAGGTGGTCAATCTACCCAGCTTCCCGACCTCGATATCCTTCTCCCAGCGATTGACGATAAAATCGGCATGCAAGAGTACTTGAGCTTTGGGTTAGCCATTCCAGACATACATTGGCTTGGGGAAGTGACATATGATAGCATAAATACATCACCATCCCTATTCATCAAGACTACATATCTCTCAGACCTCCCGGTCCGGTCTCAGCCACAACCTAAAGAGGTCTGGCTCGAGCGTTTGATGGAGAGTGTACTCGCAGTACACATCATTCCAGAATACCTCGTCCGCCGAAAAACATGGACGTACAGGGATATCGGACTCCTCCAGCTGTTGCTCCGAGCCCTGGACATCAGAGATAGCAGCCTGCCGGACAACAAGGACTGGGGTCCCATCCGGAGGGGTCCTTCGCCGCAAGCAACATTCGAGGGCATGGCGAATGCCGTCCGAGAGGGTAACAGAATGGCTCTTGAAGTGCTGATCGACGTATATAACTCGATCGTGAAGCATGAATACCCGGACCAACCACTGCCGTTGCGACTGTTCCACCTGGTATGCGAAAGAGGACAAGACCCCACGAAAGGGACAGACCTGCAAGGAAGCATCATTTCCCTCCTGCTGGACAACGCCGCGGAGCAAGTCCCCGCGGATGACGAGATCCTCACGCGCTGGGCTATCCACGTGACGAACCCGGCCGCCACAACAAAGCACCATGACATTACCGTCGCTACTGCAACCAGGTTGCTCCAACACATGGAGGACCAAGGGAGACCGTCGAAAGATTTGGCCGATCATGCCGTTGGTGCTCGAAACGATGGTCGCTGATCCGCAGCCTCATTTACCGAGGAGATCGAGTGTCTCGAACGCACAAGCACTGAAGTGTGATATATCCTAGGTTCAAACCAGGAGACGGCTATTGTTGCTGGTGAATTGCAGAGAGACATTTTACGAAGTATTGTCGGAAATTTCTTCCCAAAATCTCGCTAGCCAGGACATGAGAAAGCTCTTCGATGCTCATTATTTACTACTCAGAGCGGTGTTGAATGCAACTCCCCAAGTGATTTCATACGCAGCAAAGTCGACCGTCAACTTTTGATCTATACTCCGCGTCCGGGACTGTTGAAGCCCAACTCGTTCATGCGGTCCCCGTCAAAAGGCCCCTTTCGACCAGAACGTGATCCTCGACGTCTCGGTCCAAGCAAGTTCTGCCGAGTATCGACAATCTCTTGGATTCTCCCAGTTACGGCTCCCCAGGCCAGATGCGATCCGCAATCCTCCTCACCAACTTCAACTTCTCGACCATATCCGCTCTCTTGACTGCGTTACCGCTCGAATGGCTCGCAAACCCGCACTGCGGACTGACACCACACCTGTTGAGAGCTTCTTTCTCACTCTCCCCCGTACCCTTGCACATCCAGCCGGCAGCCTCTTTGATCCGCTTCACCATCTCTTCCTCGTCCTCCATCTTGGGAAATTTACTTGTCACCACACCCAGAATGACGTTCTTGTTCTTGGGCAGGTGCTGTAGCGGTTCAAAGCCGCCAGCCCGCGGGGTGTCGTATTCCAGGTAATACGTATGCATGTTGAGCTTCTGGAAGAGTAGGGTGGCGATACGGTCGTAGCCACCCTCGGAGAAGTGGCGCGAGTTGACAAAGTTGCCCCGACAGAGGTGGACGCCGACATGCATGTCTGAGGGAATTTGAGAGATGCATGCATTGTACAGGTCGATGTACTTGGCGAGAAGCTCGTCGGTGGAGTAGGTGTTTAGAGGGTCTTTTCCCCAACCAGCGATCATGGCTTCGGAGCAGAAATCTGTACGAGAAAATAAAAGCGTCAATTCATGCTGGAAACGTCTCCACGCCAGTGGTTGACACTACAGAGTGGATTTCAACCTGCCCACTTACAAGCCAAATTGGGATCATCAAACTGCACATTTCTCAATCCATGGTCGTACAAAATTCTCAGTTCCTCTTGGTACGCCTTGGCAATGTCGGCAAAGTACTCATCATCGTTCTTGTACACGTCGGCGGGATACGCTTTACCCTGCTTGTACCTGAGATGATACCAGTTAGGGGCGGCAAGGGTGAGCTTGAGGTTCTTCCACTGGGACTGGGGTACGAGTCCTTTGAGGAAGTCAAATTGGGCGGTGTAGGTGCTGCCCTTGTGCCTGATCTTGCCCGTGCACAACACCGTCTCGCCGGGTTTGTAGCCCTCCTCCGTGAAGGCGGCGATGTCTGGGATATACATACGGAAGAGGTCTGGATCCGGGTGTTCAATCTCGGTCATTCCCTCTAGCCCGGGGAAAAATGATCCCCAGAACATATGTCTTCTGTATTCGCCATCGGTGAGGGCTTGGAACCCCAGCTCGAGCTGTAGCTTCACGATGTCCTTGATGTCGACGTCCTCGATCTCCTGCAGAGCTTCAGCCGACGCCTTCCCGGCC